CAGCAATCAAACAGACAGCGAATGTGAAATGAGCTCCGATGGTGTGCTTCCCTGACTGAGCGTTTTCGTGTCTGGTCTAGTGTTTTAGCCTACATGTCTCTGTGGGACTACACGCACGCACGCAGAACCACATATACGAAGAGTCGATTGTACGGTTCTATTTGTAGCGCCCCATACCGTTCTTTTGACTTGAGTTTGATTTATACACGACAGGTTGTTTCTTCACCTCATGCTCAACGCATCTTTCGCTCTCTCACGCTCTGATACATACATACTCACTGTCTTGCTGACAGGGGGACATGAATGGAGTACACATCTTGACCATAGGGCGTAGTTCCGACAATCATCACCTCGTGCTGTGTGAATTAATGTATGAGCAAAGAAAGAGGATAGATCTATTGAGGTTTTGCACGAAATGCACCAGGGAGGTGTGAGGCAATGAACCTCCTCAGTCGGTGGTTCTGTTTTCTTGGCATGGGTCAACTGCCCCAACTTTCTCGGTCTGAAAGAAAGGCCGATCCTAATGGGGCGTGTCCAGTTTGAGACCCCACGAAAGAAACAGGGCGTTATATGTCACATTTGGGGTGCTAGGGCCATGTAAACTAAGATGTCTGATGACTGAGCGACACACCTGCTCAATATGCGCGTAACAGATGTGTTACAAATGAGGCGTTTCCTCATCATTCAATGAACGTATGCGGTAATCAATCCCTTCCGTTGACGTAGAACAAGCACACAAGGTACTTTTCACTAGGATCTGTTCAGTGGCAGTTAAGATTGATCACCTATCGACCAGTGTTACTCACATACCTGCCTGTAATGAATTCATTATTCCCGGAATTGAAGAACAATGAATCACGCAGTGCATTTTTGAAATTAACTAACCGCTTGACCGGGGACACGCGATTCGATGTGAATAAAAACAAACCGTCCACTCTAACGGTTCTCATGAGTTGCGGCGGGATCGTTTATATTTCAGATTGCATTTTTATTCATTCAAACTTCAGAACTGATATATCATTTCAGAAGGTAGATAATGCTGGACAGAAAGGCTGAGAAGCGTTTTGGGACAACGGTTGCAACCTTGTGCAACAACATCAACATCGTGAGCAGCAGCAGCAGTCCCGTTGAGTTTGAATTCGAAAGTGAGCCGACAAAACGTACCTCAATTTTGCAATTGCACCATGGGCAATTAGCTTCGCTCTTCATCAGGTCAGGAGGGGGTCGTGGCTTGGCCAGAAACGCTCTGTAGCTGACCTCTATTTAGATCGGTGCAGACTTCGAGTTATGTATTCTGTCCCTATTCTTGATGTTCGATTTGCGTGTATTATTCAAAGTGACTGGAGCGTGGGTTAAGTGAGCTCCGGTCCCGCTGTAATACAGTTGGATGATTCACTGGATGCGCAATTTATCTCAACTAGCCGATTGTTTAACCAATGGGAATATCGGATCAGGAACTGCATGCCTCAAGTCCACACCAAACCAGGACCGTGCACCTTCTTACTTGGGTTCTCATTTGCTTCTCGGTGTCGGAGTGTGGTACTAGTTCAACCGGACTATTTGGGGACAGGATTGTAGGTCGCTCGCTGATTTATGAGTAACTTATTTATCGCGCCCAAACAGTGTCTATACTCAGACAGAAGCCTGGGCAATCAGTCTGGTTATCAATCTATATAGCCTGACCACGTGACTGAAGTAGGTTATTAGTCAGCAGCATGATTTGTCGAGGCAACGATGACAGACAAATGTGTGTGTGTGTGTGTGTGTGTGTGTGCAGTTGTCAAAGTTGACACACGGTATGCACGTCAATCATTTCGGTTGCGCACACACACACAGCCTGATCTGTGGCACGACAGTGTGACAGGTTGATTGGACCTGTCCAGTCAGTAAATGAGTTAGAATAGAGTAGAACAAATGGCGTTTAACTGTACGAAGCATCCTGGATGTATTCGACTGAAATTCGAACTTCTTTCTTCGTTTAGCCGTTAAATTTGTGCGTGTGTGCAGCTGCTTTACAGCCGTTTTGTGAACAAACAGATATTTTCGTGCGTAGAGCAAGGGCCCATTTTTTGGTTATGACGACTTGTGAAGAGAAGAAGAAGCAGGATTATTGGGGGCAACGGTATTTTCTTCTTTGCCAACTGGCACACACACACATCTGACGATCCGACCGAAACCACTCGAATTCTTTTTTATGACTCATAGTGGAACGGGTTTTTATACCGTTTTCCTTCCTCCAAAAATAATGTGGCGAAAAACTGGGATTCATGTGAAAATGACAGACCAAAAGTGCTACAGCCTTCCTCCCCCCCCGGGCCGCCGCCACCTCGCTGCACAATCCAAAGAGAGAGAGGTGAAAAGTGGGGCTCTGCGCATCCAATGCGGCCGAGTATGCAAACAGTTTGACGCGCGCCAAAGCAATAAATCTCACGCCAGAATTTCGACATTACAACAACTAGGGATTTTATTAGTGACTTTCAAGCTCCCGCGGATAATCCTCCATTTCGTGAAATGGCGTTCGGGGTGCGGGCGGGAGAAAAACTTGAATCGCGTCATCAGACAGGGTTTTCATCGTTTTGTCGTTCTGTGAAGGAAATGAAAACTTTCTCCACAGAGCCAAGCGGGCTGTTAAGACCCGATGACACCGAGTCGTGAAACTGGAGGAAAGGCGCTCATTAGATTGGAGGGGAAAAAAGCCTCACCTTAGTATAGGTTTCAAACCACAACCGATTTGGTACGAAAACGTGGTCTGTGAACGGTCGGCATGAGAATGCAGCACGTTCGTAGTGCATCGAGTAACACGGGTGATCGGGGTAATAACACAATCCAGTAGATCGATGCAACTTTTGCCTCAACCACAGTGGAAATGATTGTGAATAAATTGTCTTGTTCGACGAACAGACGAAAATGGATAGGAAAGCTGGCTTTCCGAACAGGACAGCGTCCGACCGACTGACCACTATGAATGACTGCTAGATCAAAACAGTGAAATAGGTCGAGACGGAGCAAAACCGTGTACAAAATCATCTTCATTGTAATGTTCGGACTAGTAAAGACAGTCTAGTTCAATTCAATTATGACGGGCGTACACTTCCGAATCGAATTTTACCATTTTAAAAAAACGGTTTAGAAAATCGATTAGTACCATCTGGATTTTAGGGTCATCATCAACCCGTGAACGGCATGAAACCCTTTCTCATCCAATACATCCAAACTCAATGGGTCAAATCCATGTTCATTATCCAACAGAAAGTTCACATTCTTTTGCTGGTCTAGCCAACTAATTGCCAATCAGCCTCAATTATCAACAGCATGTTGAAAAAACGTTTGGTCACTAGATGACCGTTCGTTGTTTACTTTATTGGAATGAATTTACCATCCGCTAAGACGCTTTATTTGCAAAAGGTACACTTGACGTTTTGATTATTCAGATACGGGAACACAGGCAGGAGAGGT